ATAGAGTTAAATGAATGAAGTAAACGAATTCAAGATGGAGCCAAGCACACCGCATTCGGATGTGATGTTGCACAGAGTGCTGAAGTGAAATCGTTGGTCGATTTTGCACTGAAGACATACAACAGCCCGCCTGCGATTGTTGTCAACAATGCCGGTATTATCCGAGATGCACCGATTTTGGATATGACTGAGGAGCAGTTCGATGAGGTTGTTGCCGTCAACCTCAAAGGAGTTTATCTGGTATTAACTCTCATCTTATTTCTTTTACCTGTCATTATGGCCTTTTGCTGGTTAGCGATCAATCAACTGAACTGCGGATTGTAGATTATGGGACGGAAAAATGCTTCCTTTCGGTAATCTGATATATTAATCGTCATTCGAACTGATGAGTTTAAGGTTGCTCAAGCATTCGCCCGGGCTGCAATTCAGCAAAAAACTCCTCAATCAATCATCAATATGGCATCAATCCTCGGCAAAGTGGGTGCATCTGAAAGAGCCAACTATGCGTCAACAAAGGTAAACGAGTGTATTTCATCACTACGACCGTCTTCGTGATATACTTCTGATCAAACGCCTACATCATAGATTGTGATCAGTGATGTTCCTGTCTCACACTTCTATCAAACTCTTTCTGTGCCCTATACGGACCAATCACGCTTTGTGAAGAGCGCACCTCCTATAGTTTCATACCTGCAAACACACGATTTGCTGTATAATCCGTTTGAACATCAATCAGTTTCCTGCTAATCGAAGTTCTCGTGTTTATACTGTACTTGCAAATTTTCTGTAGAGGTACAGCTTACAGTTGAGCAGGACGTTCGCTGTGAAATATCATCAACAACCTACCCCATGCAAAACGTCTTCTTCACTTACATCGATTTCTGACTAGGGATTTAGATTTGTTACTTCAAGTATTTGTGAATATGCTCATATTTGATTGTTCAGTCGGCTGTAATTGGCTTCACTAAATCAGCAGCATCCGCGTGGGCCAGAGATGGGATTCGTGTGAACGCTGTTCTCCCAGGATACATCACCACACCGTTGACT